GGCAGTTTTATTTAAAAATGCAATAATTTCTGCTAATAACTTTCAATAACGAGAGGAGGAAAATTTTTTAAATACATTGTATACCTTGCTCTTTCGAAGCCCAGCCTTAGAACGTTCTCGAGATTTAATAGAGAAGAGGTTATATTCTTTTCAGGAAAACGCATTTAACAGTTCATTTGACTACAAACTTCGTGAACGGTGATTTGCTTACCATCAACGAATAATCACGCAATATATGTGTCTATTTGTTTGCAGTCACAGTAAAGATTCCACTGTTAAACATCCAACTAGTAATTTCATGCAAATTGTTATATTATAATACTGAAAAATATGTTCTTCTCAAACAAAGTTACATAACTCTGTAAGTCTTTATGGTATCACGTTTCTTGCAAATAAGCTTTAATTTCTGATTATTCTAAAATAGTATAAAATCAGCACTGTAAGTTAAAGCCATGAGTAGAAAATACAGATAAAATGAACGTCTTCAAATCTGGCTGCGGCCATCAGTGGAAAATGATGAAACAGATCTAGGGTTAGGTAGTTATTGGCAACGAGTGCCAAACATTGAAAAAAATTACAAGGAACACAGAAATATAAAAATTCAATTGCGTGCAATAATCGGCGTATAGCGGAAAACGCATCATGAAAAAATCTAATTCAAATTACATGCATTTTGCATATATTCTATAGAATGGCAACTAGGTGAATCTTTCCCAGTAAATAATTTAATATATCAAAAATCTGTCATCTGTTTCTGCACAGTTTCCCCGCATTTCGTAGATCAGATATAAAAAGGTCTTTTTCCACTTCTTTATATAATCAAAATGCTTTTTCCTTTATGTTTGGTCATAGAACTACAAGAGATACATTGAAATTCTAATTATATGAACTACATTTATTCGAACTGTTTATTCTTATTGTTAAGTCAAATTAAATTAAATTCTTTTTAATTTATACTTATATGTTTCTTGAAATTGCTTGTTCTTTATAGTATAGTACAATACATATTTTGAAGCAGTTATTGAGCTAATTTAGATAAATATATACGCCATATGTACATTGATTAATTTACAACATTGCGCACTTGGGCAGAACTGATCTTATTTTACTGTTTAAATTAAAATAAAAAAATGTACGATTGCGTTAAAAATTTAGTAACAAATTAATATTGTTATTTTTTGCGAGACATCTGTATATGTGAACAGAATAATGGGCTCCTTTTTCCGAGATGCATTGGAAAGTAGATTTAAAATGAATTCAACAGGGATATTTTTCGCGACATCTATACGTACGTATATATGTATGCATGTATGTATGTATGTACCTCGCATAACTCAAAAAACTATTAGCCGTTTCTTGTAGGGGACTGCTATTACATCTGATAGTGTATCTCTCTTTTTTACTGCAGCTGGCGGGTACTAAAACATACCCGTAGGGTATATATATATATATGTATATATATATCCATTCGTTTACAGGCTTACAAGTTCTTACGAAAAGTATTCATGTTTTCGCAGTGTTAAATTAAAAAAAAAAAATTCAGCAAAACAGCGAAATCTAACTTTTAATGCATTCTTCCGGTTCCTACAGTTATATTTGCAAAAGTTTCGTACTTGTTATTTAATTTCAAAATTAGATATTTTTCATCTTATTTCAACTTGAGAGAGAGATCGGTTAATTAAGGAAGAATAATTCGAGGAAAGAAATTAAAACAAACTGCAGCAGAAAAATGTGAGTAATTTAATAGGCCGTAACAAGGAAGCAATGTGTTGCCCATACCAGATTTTGTTTCACTAATATTCACTTTTATTTGCAAAACTCTATGCAATAAGTATGTAGATAAGCGTTTATCTTAGTACGTTAAGGTACTGAAATTCAAGGGAATCAAATTTCGAACATCTCCTCGAGTTTTATGTATGAATAGTTTGTTTGTGACAGCGATAACTCTTCTGAAGTTAAATTTGGTTTCTGACAAGTTAATTAAAACTTTACAGTCACTTGTTTCTAGCTTTTTGATATTGAAATGTGATACGCGCTAATATAGCATTTTCAGTTAAGCATTAAAGAAGTGTAGGGGGAAAATGTCAATATTATAGTAATGGAAACCCTTGAACAAGAAAAATTTATACATAGTGCAGAAAATTTATACAGAAACACTACAATTTTAAGGAAGAATAAAAATGACAGGAAGTGTATTTTAATTAGTCTATAATATTAACGACTCATTGGTAGGAAGTATGCGTTTCGAAAACGACGCAGGAAGACTTCCATATAAGAATGAAATTAAGATATATTTATTCCGTAATAAATGTCTATGACGTGTAATTTTATCAACTGACTGGCAGCAAGTATGCATTTCAAAAGTAATGACGACATACAGATAGCCTGAACACAAATAAATTTTTGTACTCTAACGGGTGTTTAAGTTCTTGGAGAATAAAAATAGTAGTTATATATTTATGCTGGAGCCCTACCGATAGACAGATGCAAAGCATGCGTTTCAAAAATGATGCATTAGGATTTACAGACAGGTTAAAATCAAGTAAACATTTACACGGCTTAAGTTATTTACCTTATCAACTTATGAATTCAAAATCCTAAAGAAAAACTCTTTTAGGATTTTGAATTAAAGAAACTCATTTTATGTGATAAATTTAATCTATTTTAACTTCATAAACGATTGGTATCAATATAATAATACTAGTAATATCATCTTCGTCACTAATAACAGACAGTTGTTGCTTATTTTTCATTGTTATGAAGTTTTCCTTAAAGCTATATCCAAATACGTGCATCATAGAAAGCATTTTTGTCAAGTATTCTGTCAAAATAATTAGAAGATGTATTTAAAGGCAATTTCCTATATTTGTTGTCATATTTCATCATTTCTACTAAAGTAAATGTAAATTTCTTAAATTAATTAATAATTACAAAAACGTTAATTACGTTTTTTAAAAATACAAAAGAATTTATTCAAAATTAAATGCATGTGCTTCTATAACTGCACTTGATTTTTTTTATTGGCTAAACACTTATTTGCTGGTCATAGGAAATGTGTGAATAAAAAAAAAATAAGTTTCTTATTATTTCAGTTACCGGTTGTCATACATTTTATAGGAAAGTAGAAAAAGGTTTTGCAGGAGCTTCCCACCTCGTACACGAGTTACGTTTGGAACGACCATTCTTATCATGAATGCGAACGCATATCACTTAACAATGCTCATGAAATAAAAGGTACAAAACCTTTCAAATAAACATTAAAAATGCTAAAACAATGAAATAATGCATTACAAATTTTAAGTACTATGTATTATAAATAAAAAAGTGATGAATAAATGAATGAAGACTTTTCTATACAATCCGTACTCCGAATTTTCCTCTTCGAGGCATGTGTGGATGGAATGAGGATGAGACTAGAAGATTATGGGGAGGATGAATCAATGCCTGAATCTCCCTCTATGGACTCATTGAGAAATAAAGGGGACATCTTTGATGAGGAGACTGTATGAGAACCCAAAGGCACTGGCTTGTTGCACGAGCCAGCAATACCTATTTCTGAAGTGGTCTTCCTTAAGAAATAGAGAGTCTAAACTTGTATGAGCAAGTTTTCGTTTTCTTTCGTCTCAAATAATAAAATGATAGCACTGTATAGCATCGAACACAGTGGAACTTACTTTAGGAAATCTCTTAGAATTTTTATTTTTAGCCTTCTTCAAACTTGCAAAACTCTACTACCATTAACTTTGTATCGAATTTTTTAATAAGGACACTGCCGTTTTTCTCCTTCTGTCTCTGCTGCTCATCGGGACGTATCAGGTCTTCATTAGCCCATTCTTATTCGTGTGAATCAGTCAAGAACAAGATAGGGATTTATATGTTTCCAAACGCTATTCATGTTTATATCTGTTACAGCGTCGAATGTACTGTGGATGTTCCCTACACAATTTTTCTACCTTTCGGCCTTATCTCATTTATTTTTATGAACTTTTTATTTTGCAAATTAGTTTGCTAATAAAGACTTAGGAACCCTGTTTTATTAGGTAGTTTTACAATGTTAGAAGCCATTAACTAAAGGATGTGGAAAATTAGTTCAGAAAAGAGATAATCACTCTTTTATTTTTTAAAGTTAAATAAAAAATGAAGTTCTGAGATTCCATTCTAATTACACTTAATTGAAATGCTAAGATACTTTTCGCTCCATCTTAAATGAAGGTCATGCATCACAGATTGGTAATAACGACAGTATAAAAACAACTAATATTTACTGGTATTTCAGATTGAAGTTACAAATGAGGAAAGTAAAAGAAAATTAACCTCCCACTGTGTGCAGTTTGGTAATATGATACTAACTCGGTTAGTGACAAATGAAATATTAAAGTATAAGAGCCTCTATTCTATTCTGATTGCCTTTTCCTTGAAACAACAAGAGAAGAGTTAACTCACTCACAAACAAACAGTACAACATTCCAACGGGAAGACAATGAATCACCGCTTTCCGAATCTAAATTCGCTTAGAAGCTTAGATTCTTGCTCGTTATTTAAATCCCCCTAATTTACATTTTCTGGTGTAATAGACACGACTTCGGGAGTGGATACAAAATGCAACATAAGAAATAATGCGTTTATTAAAATGAAGTTTACAAACTGCGCAATCGTGTGTTATATTTTCATAATGTAACATTAGAAATACGTAAAAATATGATTTCAGAATACAACACATTATAAACCGAATAAAATGCTTTTCATATTACATATAAATATGTTATAAATTAAATTAAATACGTTAATTTTTATAGAGAACTAAGCCATATAGTAAAGTACGCAATATGTTGTAAAAAAAATATTTGATTATTTTAGGGGAAGAAATCGTTTAATAAAGATAAATGAGCGGTAAATATAAGTATTTTTTCTGCAAGTTTCACACGCAGATGTTTCAATTTCCTTATCTAAAGTAGACAATGATAAGATAATACTCAAAATTGATCTGAAAGTCAAATGAAGCCTCACTTAAGTCAATTCGAAACAGCGATGCATATTGCTATCATTTTGATTACAATTCTGCCTCTGGCATTATGCTGCCCACCGGCAGATTCTTTATATCCATGCATTTGCAAGGAATTCGATTCTGTTATGACATTAGATATCATATGTGAAGGACTGACTAATATTTATGATCTTCAAAATTCAGCAGCAGCTTGTAAGAAGAGATCCAATATACGCAATTTTAGAATAATAAATTCTGTGTTCAATTTTATTCCCCAATTTACTTTCAATGAGAGCTTATTCACGACACTGGAAGTGAAGGATTCGACTATGTATTCGATAAGCAATACGGGAAAAGCTTTCAGAGGCTTGGAAAAAACACTGCATACTTTAGTATTGAAAAACAGTACATTTTTTGGGTTATGGAATTGGTCGAAATTGAAACTTCTCAAGAAAATACGTCATTTAATGGTCAGCGACAGCGGACTTCAGTCAATTGAAAAAGACATTGAAAACATTAATTTTGTTAAGGGTGTGGATTTATCAAAGAATGATATTTCATGGATTTATGCTCATGCTTTCGAAAAATTTGAAGACCTAAGTTATCTTATTTTAGCTGAAAATAAAATAAAGGAATTGAAAAGGAGTATGCTACCTAATCCAGGTCCAGTATTTCGTTTTATTAATCTGAGGTAAGTTATCACTCTTCAAATCATTTAATTTTCAATACGCAAGGTTTACTATACTAAACCTATTTGTTTATATTAAAAGAATCGAGTAAATTATTTACACATGAGTACTGACACGTGAAAATATATTAGCTGAGCTTCAAAAAGTGCACTTTAAGAATAATTTAATAATGCCTTGTCATATTCAACATCTGAGTTTAATTAAAATTCTAAATAGTTTATAATTAACTGTGAACATTTTGATCTCTGCAAACGAAGATTTCCTAAAACTCCATGGAAAAAATTATATTTTCTGAATAAAACTGTTTCTTTTATTTTGCATTTAAAATCCTTTTCTTCTAATAAACGTCTGTAATAAGTGGAAACATTTCAAGATACACATTGTCGAAATTATTTAGAAGAAATATAATTATTCTTGGACGTATATGTACTTCGGAGTTTATATATATATTCATATTAAGTTTATATATATATATATATACATATAAACCCGGGTTTATATATATAATATATATCAATTTACAGTTTGCCTTAAATTTAAAATTAATTGTAGTTAATTGATCTGTTTACTAAATAGACCTGTAGAAATAATTTATTTTGAATTTTCTGTCTGTCTTTTTCTGCAAGGTATTAGAAAAGCTAAAAGTTCTGTCTCTTATACACCACATTTAGTCAAAAAATTTTAATTATAGTGCTTCTCAAAATAAGACAGAAAATTTATCAATAACGCTGTTAGTATTGGGGATAAATATTTTTAAAACACTAAAGTGAACTTTTTATATGATATCATAAGGACAGACAGGTTAACCAAAAAATAATAGGCTCATTTTGTTTTAATAAGTTTCTTGCAAAATGCTCTGAAAGTTTTAATAGCAGAATTTGCGAAAATACAAAAGTACAAATTTACTGAGTTGGATCAGTTTTCGACACATTTCAGCAAATAAAACTAAATACTTTTGTTCAACACTTAGGGATAAACTGCTAAATAAAAAATGTTTGATTGGAAGACGAATGATTCTTTATTTTCAGGCGAAACAGCACTCGTTGTTAAATTTGAAGATGGTCCTCATCATGACAAACGATAATGGTCAAACAAATAGTTCCAAACCTTAAAAAACATTTTTTATTTTAAATATTTAGAGCAAAGTTTCCCTTTCAGATCTTAAAAACAATCTGAACATTTATTATCACAGTAACTGCCATCAAAATATTCTACTGAAGTTTAAAAACGCCATACATTCTGGCATTATGAAAGGAGTTGGTAAAATCTCGCAAAACAAATGCAATGATAGAATGAGATGACCTTGTAAATTCAGTTCTAAATTCACAGATTCAAAAGAAGGAATTAAAAATGATGTAGATAACATCGTTAAGTTAGAGATGACCGAAAAGGAACTCTGAATAGAATGCGTAGAAAACACATAGATATTCCGAATTGTGACTCAGTCTATCGTAGTCAACTTTCATTCTGCTTTCAAGGAATAGAAAAATAAGGTTATGACTTAAGTTTCTTTAAACTAAGGTACGTTATTCATTCACATATTTTTTTTCGCTTCAGCATTTATTTGAAATAGTTCAAATTTTCTAAGCCTTTGTAAATATAAAAGCAATAGAATAACTTCATAATGTGTATCCGGAGTATTTTACACTGGTGTGCAAAACTTAAGGACGAGACGGTTTTTTCAATATAACTTTGTACAAAAGCTTTCCAAATCAACACATTTAATACCGTAAGATCCCCAATACGTAAGGACATGAGTAACGTAAGCAACACTTACTAAAAGAGAAATCAGAGGGATAAAAAGAAGCTTTATTGAAAAAGTAGTATGGAGCGCAATGCGACTGAAGGCCGAAACATCCCTGTGATGGGTGTCCAGGAAGAAACATCCGGTCTTTAATAGGGGATATGATCTCCCCTGACTGCTAGGCAGGTTTCACAGCGTCTTCCCATGCTGAGAATGAGGGTGTCAATGAGTTGTTGAGCCATTGCTGCCCATTCGTCTTGCAGCGCCAATCGAAGCTCCGGAATCGTTACTGGTGGTAAGGTACGAGCTGCCAAGCGTCTGCCTAGAAAATCCAATACATGCTCGATGGGATTGAGATCCGGAGATCGTGCCGGCCAATCCATACGTTCAATATCCTCACTCTCTAAGAGCTGTTCGGCAGCTACTGTGCGATGACATGGTGCGATGACATGGTGTCCATGAAAAGGAACTGCGGACCCATAACGCCTCTAAAAAGACGCACATATGGAAGAAGAATCTCGTTACAATAACGGGTCCCGTTGACTGAACCTGCGTCGAAGATGTGAAGGTCTGTACAACTACCAAGCATGATGCCTCCCCAAACGAGAACACCGCCACCTCCATACCTGTCCCTTTCAATGATGTTCGAGGGATGATTGCGGCTCCCCCGCTCTCTCCAGATGAGTATGCGATGAGAATCGCTACTCAGACTGAATCTGCTCTCATCTGTAAAGAGTACTCGTCCCCATTCATTGTCTCTCCAATTCCAGTGTTCCCGGCACTACAGAGAACGCCTTCTCCAATGGGCAGGCGTTAGAGGTACACACCGTACAGGGCGTCGTGCAAACAGACCACCACCGTGCAGTCTTCTGGCCACGGTAAAACGCGATATCGGTCGTCCAGTCGCCTGTGTCGTGTGTCTAGCGATTTCTCCCGCTGTCTGTCGCCTGTTTCTTCTGGCCTGTAAAGCAATATACCGGTCATCTGCGGGTGTGGTTCCTCGTGGACGACCACTACTAAACCCCCGGATAGCTGTTCTTGTAGTTTGAAATTGTCTCCAAAGTCGTGAAACGATGTTGTGGGCAATTCCGAACTCTGCAGCCACACTTGTCACACTGTGGTCTTCCTCCAACTTCCCGATGATTCGACCTCGGATAAAAGTATCCAGATGTCGTCTAACAGATTGATTATTCGCCATTTCTCGCTGATGCAGCAACTCGGTGTGATTTTAACTGCTATACGGCGTGCAATCTCTTTGCCAGAATACTGATCTTACACCGACAACATGCTTTATACTACTCAGACACTCCCCCATTACGTCTACCTGCATATCTGCGCATGTGCTACCGTACATCACTTTACTTAATCTCCTGATTGGTCTTTCTGTCCGCTCTGCCTCTTCGTTCAGCTGATATGCTAATTTTTCGACTTCGTCCTTAATTTTTGCACACAAGTGTATATTTGAGTATTGAGATCTTTTGCGCCAGAGGTGTTTTCTTCGAAATGGATCGAGAGAATTCTCCATCTACTTGACAGTCATCTTCTTTAGATTTCCTTTTATGTGCACAGTCTGGGTTTATGACTATATTGCAAAGATTCCTTACCTTTTGAGCGTGTATTTTGTTAACTTGCAAAATGTACTAGACTTTGAATATGTACTTTCGGTTCTTCTGCCGATTTGGGTTTATTAATTCTGTCTAGATTGGAAACCTTTAAATATTTAATAATTATAGCTTTCAGAGTCTACTTTATAATTTGTATTGTACGGGTCCTCATTTCATTTTGTGAAAAAAAGGGGTATTATTATAAAAATGAAATGCACTGTAAAAAAAAAATAAAAAAAAAAAAAAATCTGTAAGGTTACTAAGAAAACTCATGGAAACTGGGATGCCATGAGTTATTTTAGTAACAGAAACAGGTGTATTCTTTGTAACTTTACAAGAATTTTGCCTGTAATGGTTACAGATCTTTTTCTTGTAATTTCACAGCATATAGTTATGGAAGTAGAACATATTTTTCTCATGTAAAATCCCAAACGATATATCTGTAATGGTTACAAATTATTTGCGTGTGATATTACAGCAAATAATTATGTAAAAAGAACATGTTTTCCTCATGTAAAATCTCAACAGATATATCTGTAACCGTTACAGGTTATTTGCTTGTATTATTACAGCAAGTTATTATGTGAGTAGAAAATACTTTTCTCATGTAAAATTCCAATGGTTGTATCTGTAAAGATTTCAGATTATTTCCCTCTAATATCCCATTAAGTAATTATGTAATATGTTTTGAGTAAAAGAATGATATCTGTATGTATGTATATATATTTAAATATACATACAGATATCATTATACAGATATATACAAGTGAAGCATAATAGTTTGGTTTTTTAAATTAGCCAATTTGACCTCAGAATAGCATTAATTTAAAAGATGTGTTTTCAACAGCATTTAATGTTCTTTTTCAAAACGTGACATTATTCTGTTGCAGAGTATTTTTGTTTTATGAAGAGAAACTTATGTCTGATATTATATAAAGGCTTTTCATATTATCACTTTGATTAATTTAAAAATTCAAATTGATATGCTACTCCTTACATTAAATCATATGTATATCCTTTACATTATAAGGTATTTCTCCTACCTTCTTGGAGTGCCTTCGTGGTGTAGTAGTTCTGCACAATGAGCCGGTATTCTAGAGGTCCTCGGTTCGATTCCCGGCGAAAGCGTTGCATATTTTTCATCTCTCAAGGTTTTTATATACTGTGCTAATAACTTTTGAGTATAAAATAGGATTTTATATGTGTTTCTCTACCTATTTAAAAAATCGTGATTTTGGTACATGTATGAAAAATGTTATATGCATTTGTAATTCTCAGTAAGCGTTAGGCTTAGTGTGGCGGATGTATGTTGTAACAAGGGATTTGTTGCACCATCCACTGAAGTCTTTCTATCCGCCGAGGAGGGAGGCAAAAAAAATTTTGGTGCACCGAAGTTGAAGTCGTTTTGCCCGATGGCCAATTTGTTTAATCCACGTCAGAAAATTTAAATTTCTGCTTAAAAAATTATTTTGGAACTATTTAAAACACAAACTGAGATGGTTCGTCCAAAAAATAAAGAGCCTAAGGGGCAACGCCCCGACAATGAGACGCAGTCGGCCAGTGCTCCAATAATAGATAAGACACAGAAAGAGAGCAGTACACGACAGCTAGACGTTGATATAACTTTGGTAGATGCCAGTACAGAGTATCAAGA